AGTCGCAAAAAAATAAGTTGGAAAATTTCATTGATGGAACGAACGACTAAAATTCATGTTTATTGAAACAAAGAATTCCTTCTCGTTTGAAAAATATAAAGAAATTTGAAAATTAGCTCACCAGGTGTTTTCATCTTCTTGTAGTGCCATTTTGGTAAACGTCACACTTGTATCGTAGTGTGCAAAATCGTGAATTCGATATAAATTACAATTTTCTACAGGAGAATAAACTTTTTCTATCAGTTAGCATTCTTCGTCGAGTTTTACAATTTTCATCACATTTCTTGTGGTTTACGTTCTGTTTAAAATTCAACGATCTATAGATAGCACAGACGAAAGTTCGCTCTTGTTGACAAATCGTTGCCATCTTTTAGATAAAATTTTTATATGTGTAACAAAACGCGCGAATATTTAATCATCCTGTTTTACATATATTAGAATGAATTTATTTTCATAATAATACATTTATTTATATATAATAATGAATTTAATAATAAATTATACAATATGGATATATTTATCTATAACATAGATTTATTTGTAACAAGTAAAATTCCATTTTTAATTAATAATCAATATTGTATAAAATAAACATTATTCCTTTTAATTTTTAATAAAAAATAAAAAAATGTTGTTTTAGAAGCTTATATCATTGATTTAATCTAATCTATTGCGGTCGTATTACGAAATGTTTGTATAGTAATAGTATACCAAGGAAAATGATAATCCATTTTTATACGATATATACATTGACTCGGGAAGTATTTAAACATTTACCGTAGAAACCATATATATATAATGGATGCGTTATATAAAACATTTTGAAATTTCATTATCGCTGTAATGAGATCCAACTATCATAATTATACTGTATATTCTATGTATACATTTTAAAATCGGTTTCAAATTTTATTAATATATTCATAATAATAGTCAGGTTTCATTATTACTGTTTATAATGTTAATGAAATTTTTTAATGTTTCGTATAACACATATATATATTATATAATATATAATATATATAGTTTATAAAAGGTTTCTACAATTGTTTGAATACCTTCATGAGCCACTGAAAACAGAACAATAATCGTTTTCAACTATAATCCAATGGTAAAATGAGAAATTGTTAAAATTCAACGTTATACGAGTATGTATATCGGCCTTAATACATACAATATTGTCACGGTCGTATACACGGGTACCTTGTAACTGCGACCGTTGATAACATTTAGCGCTAAATTCACACAGCGGCGAAAATGTGTACTAAACGATTCGTTTCTTCGAGGATTCGTCTGCAAATGCCTATAGTGATCTTTCCGCATGGTCGCTCGACTTTATATTAGTTCTCACTGTTCGTTTTTATATCGGTGAGATTAGAAGAGCAAGGCGAAGTCGAGAGAAATCCTTGACACTTGAGGACAGCGAGAAATTCGCGACAAAATGACGGGAGCAAGTGGCGCGAGCGTGGCCGGTAGTCCGCTGCCAAAATGGCAACTCGCTTTGGTTGTTGCAGCGCCGGTAGCGTTGGGCCTTGGTTACATATATTTTAAAAACTCTAAACCGTCATCGAAGCCTAGTCGCGGTAAATCGAAAAACAACTTGAAGAAAAATGGCACGACATGCGCCGATAAACAAATATCAATCGATACAGAGAATCCACCAAAAAGCACCAATGATGCAGAGGTTAGGAACATTTTGATTATTACATTTTCATTTTTGTTTTATCAATAGATGGTGAATGTTTATGCGTTTATAGGGAATCTAAATGTGCAGAAATGTACATAATACAATGAATCATAAAATATGTAAAGTGCTTGATATTTAATAGATAATAGGAAACAAATCTCTTTTAACTTCTATTTCTTTAATTATGAAAATGTTTAGTTTTATAAAAATAAGATTTCGCATAAATAGACTATTTACTATGGATTATTCATATTAATTTCTGACTTATTAAATAGTGAGTTAAGATGTTGAATGAGTTATAAAGATAAATTCTTATAATAAGTCTTGTATATTAAACAAAGATATATCATTGTAGACTCCATTGGAAAAAGCTCAGAAATTAAAAAATCTAGGGAATGAGCAATTCAAAATAGGAAAATACGACGAGGCAATAAGTTACTACAATAGCGCAATTGAAACTTGTCCACAAGAGAATTCAGAAGCTATAGCTACTTTTTATCAGAATAGAGCAGCTGCCTATGAACAACTGGTAATATATTATTCACAGATGTTATAATATTGATATCAATGTTAGTTTAAATTACATATTACTAATGACATGTTACAGAAAAAATATAGTAGCGTGAAAGCAGATTGTACAAAAGCCTTAGAATTAAATCCAAGGTATGCAAAGGCATTACTACGTCGAGCAAGAGCAATGGAATATTCCAATGAATTAGAACCAGCTCTAGAGGATGTCACTGCTGCTTGTATTTTGGAAAACTTTTCAAATCAAACTGCAATGATGATGGCAGATAGAGTTTTAAAACAATTAGGTAAATTGTGCATGTAATATGAGCTTATGGCATTTAACAGACTTAGGTAAAATATAAATAGAGATATAAATCTGAAATTTCTTTTAGGTAGACAACATGCAACAGAATATTTGGCAAAAAAGAAATTAATTATGCCTAGTAAATATTTCATCAAAACATATATTATTACTTTCCACAAGGATCCTGTTTTTTCAATGCTTCAAGATACCGATTATAGTGATATATCACCGTAAATATTCATATTATTTTCAATTTTATCTTGCTAAATTATTACTAATTTATATAATTAAAATTTTATATGTTTGTATTTGACAATTGTGTGTTGTGCTTTAGGGGTTTTGCTAAAGCTTTACAATATATAAAAGAACAAAAGTATGAAGATATAATACCAATCTGTACTGAAGAAATCAACAGTTCTGATCCAAATACATTGCCACATAAAATGAAAGTATTACTCTTACGAGCTACATTTTACATGTTATTAGGACAACATGATGCTTCAATTGAAGATTTTGGAACAATTATAAACAATGAGAGTGTTTCAAAAGACATAAAAGTGAATGCCTTAATAAAGAGAGCTACCTTATTTATGCAATTAGAAAATCCAGACAAGAGTTTTTGTGATTTTGAAACTGCTGCTGGACTTGACCCTGAGTGTGGCGATGTTTATCATCATAGAGGACATGTATCAATTTTTATAATTTTCTATGAAATATTTAAAAAATTTGTTAAATATACATAATTAAGTGAAATAAATAAACAAAATTGCAAATATGACAGTACTACTGTTGCATCATAATATGATAATTAAAAAAGATGTATTATTTGATTGTAGGTAAATTTAATTATGGAAAAGATAGATGAAGCCAGAGAAGATTTCAGAAAGGCTGTTGAATTCAATCCTGACTTTGGAGTAGGATATGTACAAAAATGTTACGCGGATTATCGTTATGGGATAGTAGAGAGAAGTAAAGAAGTAATAGAAGAAGCCATGAAAAATTTTGAAGCTGCCTTTGAGAAATTCCCAAACTGCTCAGAATGTTACACTCTCTATGCGCAGGTATAAATAAGTATTCTAAATATTCCAAAATCACTACTAAATAATATACAAATTTACTATATTTTGCCGGATGTCTTATGGTGTAGATGTTAACGGAATTACAAGAATATCAGAAAGCAGACACTTACTTTGCTAAAGCAATTGAAAAAGATCCAATTAATGCTACAGTATATGTACATAGAGGTTTATTACAACTACAATGGCATGGTAATGTTGAGAAAGCTATAGAATATATTAATAAAGCATTGGAGATGGATGATAAGTGTGAATATGGATATGAAACTTTGGGAACGATTGAAGTTCAAAGGTAAATTGAGATTTAGAAATATATATCTCTTCTTTTGGTAGATAAGTGTAAATAGATAAGTAGCATGTAATAGCAACTTTTATATATTAATCTGAAACATAATTTCAATTTCTTAATAGAGGAAACGTAGAGGAAGCGATAAAACTATTTGACAAGGCCTTAACATTAGGTCGCACGGCTATGGAACTTACACATATATTCAGTTTGAAAAACGCCGCAAAAACACGGCTCACGATAAAAGAAAGATTAGGTTCTGATGTAATGTTGAATTTCCAGAATATTTAATAAGTTTTTATAAAACTATTCTGATTAAATTCGAAATTTCAAATTAGAAATATATGTGGTTACCAGAATTAAAGAATCAAGTTTCATATACGCAATATGAACATAATTTTGTACAGGGTTTTAATAGAAGTTCTGCAATAATAGAATCATTGATTGATTTTGCAACCATACACATGTGTATTCGTTCATTATTCGATTCATAAACCTACCTATTCTTTGAAAATTTCAAGTATATAATAAGAATCGATCATGGTTATTTTGTAATTACTTTATTATAATATTTTTTGTTGATAATTTCTATAAATAAGACTTTTGAAAGTTGCATTTATGAAATATTTAATTTGTTTTCACTATATCTACGTACTACAAAAGATAAGACGCCTATCATTACTGTAATCGCTGATTTAGAATTTTTGTAACAAAAATTTATATACCATTCACGTTATTCGTCTGTTTCACGAATTTGTCGTAATTAATTATGTTTAGATTATTTAAGTGTCCTAAAAATTCTTTGCTATATTTAGAAAAGTATATTTTATATATATAAATGCTACTGCGAGCGCGCGCGCGAGAGAGAGAGAAAGATAAAAAGCAATTGAAAACTTGCATAATTTAATAATAATTTATAGTAGTTTAACAAATCTCATAATCATGATAAAAAAAAAACTGTATTTTGTATTATTTTGTGTATAAAGCTTATAAAACATTTTTAATCAAGTCATGTATAATTTATATATAAAAATATTAATATGTTATATTATTTTCCAAATGTTATAAAAGTTATTTTATTCTAACCCAATTCCCAGTGCATTGTGATGTTTATAATTAATGATCATTAAATGTTACAAGAAATAAAGAAACATACTTTATTTCCTGATAATAGTGTAACAAAATAATATTCGCATAATCCAAAGCTGTTAATAAATATACATTAAATAATAATAATTACAAAGTATGAAAGTACATTTATATTGGAAAATTCTTCTATAAAAGAAGTTTAATATAACAGATACACTATTTCAATATGAAAAAACAAAATAACTTCATACTTTCTAAATATGTACTTTTTCAAACCTCATAGAAAATCGAAGCAAGAGGATATCTTATGAGAAATGCTAATGAACTGCTAACAACCTGAAACATTAATAAATTTTTAACATATTAGAACTCACTATGTAAATGGTAAATATACAAAGCATTTGCACTTCTGTGCAAATGTATAGATTAAATATGATATTTTCATATTTCCTGTAGAAAACTAAAAATATTTAAGAAACTATCAGAAACTATTTTGTTAAGCTTCAGGCATAAAATATTAATGTCTTACCTGAATTAGCAACAAAATCAATGTAAGTGTAGGTTCATTCATTGGGCCAGTATTAATAAGCACGAAATTAATTAGTGTCAAATTATTACAAGTAACAATACCTTGATCATCTTCTTGCCATTTTATTATATTTAGTTTCCTAAATATCCATGCTATGAATTTACCTATGAAAAAAAATTCGTTTAAATTTGTTAAATTAAACTCATATTAATATATATGTATATAAAACATATATTTTCATACCCACAGAACCAATATCCTTTTTATTGAATACTGTAGTACTAATATCTAACTTATCAGTTTTTTTATTGTATCTGCAAATAAACTGCATATGTAATACTTCATAAAAAATAATACAAAGGAATAGTTGATTTTTTGAGACCTACTTTGGCAATCTATGTCTAGGACATGGTATCAAATGAAATAATTGTGGTACACTATAAAGAAAGTTAATTATTTGTGGAATAAAGAATAATAAAGTTGTTTTACTGAAATGTCCAATTATACCAACAACAGCAAATGTCATTCCAGATAAATAGCAAAAAGTATCGCCCACAAATACCTGTGCTGGGTACCTTGAACAAAAAGATGAAATCTTTAAAAAATTAATTTTATTGTGTATTGTCACATTATGTACTACAATTTATTATTAAACTAAAATAAAAAATAAAAGATGGTAATCTCTTCTAACAGACTAAAAGAAAAGAGTAAGAATAGGATTTTAAATAACATATATCTCTTTAAAGAAAGCAAAAAAATTAAAAAATTAAATAAAAAATAAATTCCATAAATAAATTATAGAAATTCTAATATTAGATATTTCCAAAGTGCACTGAAATTCCTAAATATAAATTGAATTCAATACAATATATTATTATCATATCAATACAATATTATCATTTATTGTACATAAAATATTTATTTTCAAAAGACACAAAGAAATTAAATAACTAATATTAAGTATCTAAAAATTATACAAAAAATTCTGCTTAAATATATTTGATCCAAAATTAATTTCTATAGCTGATTTTCGTTCGTTATTCGTATTTCCGCGAATAATAAATCTTTCTGATTAATTAATTGATACTTGGAGACGCGTGCGCCTTGAGTGGAGTTACGACCGCGCTTGATACGGAAGTAAGGTAAAAGAGGTTGAGTAGAAGGAAGCATTCGGGCGTGGTTTTCCAACTGGTTACGCTCCTTTCGGCAAGCGGTCCAGGAATACTTCTTGTGGATGCTAATGGAACGGCGGGATATCTTTCAATAACAAATTCGATCAGTCGGGGGAGGTGAAAATATGTGGCATTATGATGCGAACGATTGTACGATCAGTAAAATACAAAAAGTTGGCTAGGAAACGTTGTTCTATTTGTTGAAGAAGTTGTCAATGAATGATTGAGGCCATTTAAAATTAAATGGCACGCCGGAGAGCGGTGACATCTCGATTTAAACGTCACGACGCGAAGGCATTCACATCATTTGCGTCAGACTATATTGTGAGTTTCGTATACGAATTATGTATACCTTGTATCAAAAACCTCATTGAACATTATTTAACGTTTTAATTAATAGCCGAAATTTATTAACATATGACAAAAATTGCGCTTTATATGTAAAAGAAATTTTTAAATAAAATCTGGCATATAAATAAATTTTTTGCTCTTTTTATATTTTAAACATGATTTCTAAGTGCTAGATATCGCTTGTTAAATATAAAAAAAAAAAGTGAACTATCATTTGTATACAATGTATCATCAAGCTAAACCTTCATTTCATAGACTTATACATACATTGACTGTATACATGCTTATGGATGGGCCTCTTTAGCAACGAAAATGTTATGATTAATGTAAAATTCCTAGAAGGTGTAAAATGAAAAATTAACAAAATTAAAGCAAAGAATAGTGCCATGCAGCCCCGCCTAGATGGGAAACTGGCCTTACTATATACATTATTAGTTCTCCAAGTACTGATTGTTATGATTTATGTGGCTACAACTCCATCTTCTGAATTAACTATGTCTACAACACATACCTCTGTAACATTTGTAAAATTCGAAGAACAACAGGTAAGATACAAGTTATTTTATATGTTATTTTTAAGTCTAACAAAAATGTTAAGCATATATTACATTTCAGGAACCAAAAATTCAACTAACTATTCATAAAAAGTTTCCCATCTACCAGACAATCAATGAAGAAGTAGTATTAAATGAGATCAAGACTTTCACTCTGTTTGAAGTATACAATCATACAATATGTTGGAAACATGGAGTGGATGATCAAAAAATGAGAAGTAGCGAAGACCTCCAGAAATGTATTTGTATTCATGGGTGGCATGGCTCAGACTGTGGTCAACCAGAAGTTGTCTGGAGAGCAATCATGGCATCAAAGCAAAATGTTAATCTAAAGCATCGTAAAATAGCTAGACGTATTATTCATACATTTTTTCTACATGAACATAACTCAGCAATTGCAGAAGTGATAGTAGAAGAACTATACAATGTAGTGGATCTTTTTGTAATCTGTGATTTCAGTAATGCAGAGGATAATTTTCATCATAAGCTATTTAAAGGTTTATTACAACAGAAACAAAAGAAAATTTTATATATTAATATAGCAACAAAGATGCACAAACCATCGAGAATAGTATCTAAATACATTTGGGACAAGCTGAAGACTGTAGTACGAAATTTAAGGGATGATGATATTTATATAACGACTGAACCAGAACAAATATTAAACTCCAGGGCATTAATGTTCCTCAAAGTATATAATGGATGGCCACAACCTATTGGTTTTAGATTAAGATGGTCTGTTTATGGATTCTTCTGGCAACATCCACTTAAGACAACGATAACAGTTGGTGCGTGTACAATTGGATTAATGCGTGAAGCTTATCAATCAAATTCTATTATGTTAGAACAACTGGAAGGAGATTTGAGTGAAAGAGATAGCCTAGGCCTAGTAATAGGAGATTTAAATCATTATGGAGGATGGTACTGTTACCTATGTCAGGCACCTGCAAATATTATAACTAATTTGCATAATAAAGTTAAATCCAAAGAAATTCAAATAGAAAAAACTATCGACGTACCGTTCATTGAGGACCTAATAGGAAGTGGATTATGGTTAGATGGAAAAACTAATCTCTTAAGAGTCTCTAAATCTCAGGACCTCTATTTTGCGCCTGAAACAATACTTAATAATACATGGAAATACGACTGGCTAGTAGAAAATTTCTATGCTAAATTAGACTATTATTGACATATTGGTCACACCTGACTGTGATATTAACTCATACTCAATACTCAATGTAAACTATATAATATTGTACTGAATTTATATACCAAAATAATATGTTGAATGAATTGTGAATGTTAAATGATTTATATACATATAACTTATAAAGAAAACAGTTGTAATTACTTTTTCTTATTTGAATATCATTTCATATATTACTGAAGAATTTAATTTACACATTATTATTTACCTATTTTATATACAACTTACCAATTAAATTTTAATAACCCCAGTGATGTTGCTATATATGGAAGCATGAAATACAATGAAAATTGATGTGCTTTCCACAGATCTCCTGATAGCTCTATTATATTAAACAAAAGAATGCTTATTGAAATGACTAAGCTCTGTCCAACTTCTAAACCATTTATACCAGCTAATATGTTTATAGCATTTGTGCAAAACACTGCTAGCATCCCCATATATAAATAATAAAATACCCAAAGATCCACTGAAAGACCAAACCATGGTCTTAAGGGTTTTGGCACAATAATTAATGTAGAATTAAAATTAATGTAATACACCATTAAAAGTGGTAAGGAAGCAATAGTAGGTAATAATAATTTGTGCCTCCAACGTAGGTCTAAAACATCATCAGCAAACCCCAAAAGTAACATACAACAAATTGAGAGTAAAGCTGCCAAAAACTCCATAAACTGTAATTGAAATTTGATATATTATAATTCATTTAATTAAAATTAGTACTAAATTTTCCATATAAGACATGGACATCCAATGAAAATTGTTTGTTGCATACCTCATTATGAGGGAAGTTTATGTCATTAAATATATAGTTTGTAAATGGTACAGGAATAAAAAGAAAGAGCGTTATAAGAAAAAGACATCCAGTGACAACACCTAAAGCTTCGGGCCTGTAAAAAAATTGACATGTGCAAATTACCTGTAGCGAAATTAGTGCCCATTAGAAGAAATGAAGAGGCTACTAAAAATTATACGACTAAGAAAAATTCACTCACACTTTTTCACCACTTCTCTTATTCATATCAATACCGTATAGGTTAGCTTTGACAAACATATCTTTTATCTTCGGTATTAAACGTATAGTTAAAAAGTACACAGTGGTCGACATCGCGAAATTTATTAAAATTGGGAAAATAAATTTCCAACTGTTGTCATCGTATATCACATTCAACATTTTGAAGATCGTACGAAAACAACATAAAACGAATCATATGTTTAAGCGAATGATTGACGTGGCCTATTACTGATATTACCAATTATGTATTGCTCTTTTGTGTAGATAGTACAGTAATACAGTAATACTTCTTTTAAAATAGTACACTAAAACTCGATGTGTTAATGTATACATTTTTTCTTTTCAAATGTGAACATATCGAACTCTTAATATTCTCAGGAAAATTACATAGGTAGGGGAAAAAATTCGTTACAAAAGTTAACTTCGAATCGGGAAATTTTCAATAACAATATACTGACAAGATATTTTTATTTGTTTTATCTGTTACATAATATTATTATATTTTTTCGATATTTTACAGTAAAAACAGTACTTTCATTTTTGTACGTGACCGAAAATTCTTACGTATTACATCAAATTTTATTAATGGTTAAGATTTAGCTTAAAAATTACACTTTATTCTTATTGTTTGTTTTTGGTGAAAATTTCCTTTGAATAAATATATATTCATCGTTAGTGCATGTATTTTTCGCGTAATACGATTGAGGTAATGTGATGTTGCAATATTGAAGTATTTGTTATACAAATATGACTAATTAATTTACATTCTTCTTTTCTGTTTTTGATTTTGATACAAATTATCAATTTTGATGTTTAATTGTAATTAAAAAGTCAGAAATAACATTTTTTCTTTCTTAAATGACTTTTAATATTACTTAACCTAGAACTGTCAAATATAAAGTATATCTTTCTTTGCAATAAAAAAATAACATGAAAATAGCACGTTACAAATTATATATATAGAAATTTATATTATTAGTTACTTATAAAATTTGTATGTATACTGTACATACACATTTTATACATCTTTTGTTAAGTTTTGTGTTATTTCAGTGCAGATTTAATCTTATATTTTTCTATAATTGATCATCTAATTTATACAGATGGATAGTGAAAAGCAAAAAGATGAGATTGTCGCGTTGGAAAGTATTTACAATTCAGAAGAGTTTTCATATCACAAGGAGAATGATCAGTACCAATGTACTTTTACAATATTCATAAATCTTCCTGTAGATTATCAAGCAACATACAAGGATTGTAGGCAAGTGGATGAACCAGAACAAAAGATTAAAATATCTCATTTACCGCCATTAAAGCTTCATGTACTTCTACCAAAAAATTATCCTTCGGAGTTGCCACCTAAATTTACTTTATGCTCATCTTGGTTGCATCTCTCATTGTTAACTAAACTATGTAAAAAATTGGACAAGTTGTGGGAAGAAAGTAAAGAGCAAGAAATATTATTTACGTGGGTAGCCTTTCTGCATGATGAAACTTTAGAATTCTTGAATATACAAGATAATCTTAATATGAGTCCTGCTTATACACGTTATAAAGAAACTTTGGAAATAGCACATATCATTCATAAGAATAAAATAGATAATATAGACAAAGAATGTACAATTGAAGGTGCAAAGAATACCATAAAGAAAAAAGTTAATGACAAGCAGTTAAGTAAGTTAGTAAGGAAGTATCATGATAAAAGGGCTGTATTAGATTGTCCTATTGGAAGAAACCCAATACAAACACTGATCGATTACAACGAGAAACGTAACCAAATTGAATTCAAAAAAAACTTCTATACTTGTAAGATTTGTTTTGTGGACAAATTGGGAGAGCATTGTACACAATTTTTCCCTTGTGGTCATGTATTTTGTAAAGATTGCATAGCTGGTTACCTAGAAATAAGAATCAAAGATGGAAATGTGCAAAATATTTATTGTCCAGAAGAAAAATGTTCCTCTGAAGCAACTCCTGCACAGGTGAATTTTTCTGTTCATTTCAAAGTCTGTTTCTATTCCTTTGATTATATTAATGTTTTCAGATAAAAGACTTAGTAAGTTCAGAATTATTTGCAAAGTATGATTCTATATTATTGAATGCCACATTAGATACTATGGGAGACATAGTATATTGTCCAAGACGTAATTGTCAGTATCCAGTTAGTCGTGAACCAAACGAACAAGTGGCAAATTGCCCAATTTGTCAATATGCATTTTGTGTTTATTGCAAAATGGTGTATCACGGCATAGAACCATGCAAAGTTTATTCAGGTATATTTTTGCAAAATGTTTCTTAATGTTTAAAATCATTAAATGATTGCTCATGATATGTAATATTAAAAACATTAATATTTCAAATATATTTACTCTATTATATAGCTGAAATACATAAAGTGGTAGCTGAATATCAAGAAGCTCCTGATGATAAGAAACAGCAAATGGAGCAACGTTATGGTAAAAAACAACTTCAAACTTTGGTAGAAAATGCTATGTCTGAGAATTGGATTAAAAGTAATAGCCAAAAATGCCCTAAATGTCAAGCTGCTATTGAGGTATTATCAGATAATAAACAATAATGTTATTTAATATACACATATGTAATACAGAATGATCTGCTTGCTATAAAGATGGTATTGCCTTAGAGTTAACTCAATAGGATCACTCTGTATAAAATAAGTACTTTGTATATATAGTGCAATTATTTCACAGAAATCAGATGGTTGCAACAAAATGGTGTGTTGGCGATGCAATACATATTTTTGTTGGTTATGCAACACTGTTCTCGATCGTAATAAGCCATACGAACATTTTCAAGATATGGATTCTAAGTGCTATAACATGTTATATTATGGAATGCCAATTGAGGATAACGATGACGAAGCAGATGGTGAAGACGAAATAGGAGATGACGTATATATGTGGCATAATTTCCAACTGTATCCAAATTATGTATTAGAAGATGATGATTTTTATGAGGACATTGTAATATAAAATGAAAATAAAACATGAACATACACGTTCAGACAATTAGTAGCCATTATTGCTTCATAAATTATTAATTCGCGAATGAATGTTTAATTATGAATGTTCAATACATAAAAAGTTGTAAAATTTTGTTTACATAAATAGCACCTGTTTTCCGCATATTGATTTATAAACGTGTTTGTACGAAAGAACGTAAATTATGTATATTTTTACTGATTTATCATACAAATATCAATTAAACAGGGAATTTTCCAGAATTTTATAAAAATTTTTGTATAAAATATTAATATGTATATCTAAATTACGTGGGAATGAAGTTACACAGATTGTAAACGATATTTACGAATGTATAAATAAAAAAAGACAATTATTCAACATAAAAAGGTCTAGGATTTTTTAATATAAGGACACATCGTTGCTGAAGACAATCTGTCTCTTTATTACCAAAAAAAAAAAAGATATCAAAACAGTTGTAAATACTCGAGCTATTTAGTATTCTTCGGCACCTTCTCCTTCACCTTCGGCGGAATCCATGCCGACTTCCTCGTAGTCTTTCTCAAGAGCCGCAAGATCTTCACGAGCTTCGGAAAATTCACCTTCTTCCATACCTTCGCCGACGTACCAATGAACGAATGCACGTTTAGCGTACATAAGGTCGAATTTATGGTCCAGACGAGCCCAGGCTTCTGCGATAGCAGTCGTGTTTGACAACATGCAAACGGCACGCTGTACTTTGGCAAGATCACCACCAGGAACCACAGTTGGAGGCTGGTAGTTGATACCAACTTTGAATCCAGTTGGACACCAATCGACAAATTGAATAGTACGTTTTGTTTTAATGGTGGCAATCGCAGCATTTACATCTTTGGGTACGACATCGCCTCTGTATAACATACAGCAGGCCATATATTTTCCGTGGCGAGGATCGCATTTCACCATCTGATTGGCTGGCTCGAAACACGCGTTTGTAATCTCTGATACAGAGAGCTGTTCGTGATATGCCTTCTCTGCGGAGATGACGGGTGCGTACGTTACCAAAGGGAAATGAATCCTGGGATAAGGTACTAAATTTGTTTGGAATTCAGTCAAATCAACGTTCAGTGCACCGTCGAATCGCAGAGAAGCTGTGATGGAGGATACAATTTGGCCGATCAATCGATTTAAATTAGTGTAAGTAGGTCTTTCAATGTCTAAGTTACGGCGACAAATATCGTAGATGGCTTCATTGTCAACCATAAATGCGCAGTCGGAATGTTCAAGAGTGGTATGCGTGGTCAAAATTGAATTGTATGGCTCGACGACTGCAGTGGAGACTTGTGGAGCAGGATAGATTGCGAATTCTAGCTTCGATTTTTTGCCATAGTCTACAGAAAGTCGTTCCATCAAGAGAGAGGTGAATCCAGAACCAGTGCCACCTCCAAAGGAGTGGAAAATAAGAAATCCTTGAAGACCAGTACATTGATCAGCCAATTTACGAATTCTGTCTAAGACAAGGTCTACAATTTCTTTCCCAATAGTATAGTGACCACGAGCGTAGTTATTGGCCGCATCTTCCTTGCCAGTGATCAGTTGTTCTGGATGAAACAGCTGACGGTAGGTACCAGTACGTACTTCATCTGAAATAAGAAAATCAATTTGGTTACAAATTTACATAAACAACTACATCTTATAATGTAACAGAACTAAGGGATATTAACCAACTACTGTGGGTTCCAAGTCAATGAAGACTGCTCTTGGTACATGTTTCCCTGCACCAGTTTCACTGAAGAAGGTGTTAAAACTGTCATCACCCCCACCAATGGTTTTGTCAGATGGCATTTGGCCATCAGGCTGGATGCCATGCTCCAGACAATACAATTCCCAGCAGGCATTACCAATCTGGACACCAGCTTGTCCAACATGAACTGAGATACATTCACGCTAAAATAAAGATACAAAATACATTTATAAATTACAGAAATAACTAAATATTCCATATTTAACAATCCCCATACTTAAATTTTTAATAATAATGAATATCAATTTTCTTCAGGATGATAAATTAACATTTCAATGCTCAAAGTTCAATGAACTTAACTGTTAAAATAAAAAAAGAAGGATCATTTAAATAGATATATAAAACATGAAAAAAACTATTATATACAATAAAAAGTTAAGATATTAAATAAAGAATAATCGAAATAAAAAGAGATTCCAAAAATACGTTAACTCAGCATAAAGCCGGAAGCCGGCCGGCATTTAACCGTTACAAGATGGCT